ACTCCTCCACCACTCAGCTGTCACATTAATAATGTTGTTCCATACCAGAGTACACTTGCATCACTTACAATCACAATATCCCAAGCCCATACAATATAGTCGACCTTGTTGTTGCTATTTTGTATTGTTTATATTTTCTTGCCAGCCTTTCTACTTTATAACCCATAATCTTTGTAGGTGCAAGTAAAATGATGGGTCTTGATTGTTGATGCCAGAGGTCAGAGGAGATGGCCAGACTGGTTCAAGCATACAGAAAGGCAACAGTAACTCAAATACTCACTTGCTACAGCAGCAGAAGACCACACAGGGTGCCACACCTGTGGAACAGGAAACTGAGGCTACAATTCACATGGGCTCACCAAAATTGGACAATAGAAGATTGTAAAAATGTTGTCTGGGTTGATGAGTCTTGATCTCTGCTGCAGATTCAGATGGTAGGGTCAGAATTTGGCATAAACAACATGAAAGCATGGATCCATCCTGCCTTGTATCAACAGTTCAGGCTGCTGGTGGTGTAATGGTGTGGGTATATTTTCTTCCAGCTGAGAATCATTTAAATGCCACAACCTACCTGAATATTATTGACCGTGTCCATCCCTTTATCATCAGTGTACATATCTTCTGATGCCTACTTCCAGCAGGATAATGCACCATGTCACAAAGCTCAAATCATCTCAAACTGGTTTCTTGAACATGACAAAGAGGTCACTGAACTGCAATGGCCTCCACAGTCACCAGATATCAGTCCAATAGAGCACCTTTGTGATGTGGTGGAACGGGAGATTCACATCTGACAGCTGACAAATCTGCAGCAACTGCGTGATGCTATCATGTCAACATGGACCAAAATCTCTGAGGAATGTTTCCAGCATGTGATGCCCTGCAGCCAGAAAAATACTTTCCCCCGGTAAAATTACATGGCAAAAGAGACACCGGCTACAGTGGCTACATTTTTTTGCACATCACAACCCTGACAAAAAGGCACGTTTCACTATCAGGACTTGATCCATTCGGTCCAACAACATTTGAAAAGTGAAGAAGAAATAAATCTTTATATCACCATTTAGGGTAGTGGAAGGGAGCTATTCAACTGGCGGAAGTTAGACACTCGGTCCCACTGGGCTGACATTGGCTGCCCTAAGTCTTCAGTGTGCTTCCTCTATGGACTGCACAGTGCAGAAGTAGTGTCAATAATCTCCTGATCATCCAGGTAATGTTATCCACGGCAGTTGAACCATTTTGGCTCGTGTGTCACTGAGCAACTCTTAGAGGAACGAACAGGGCCCCGCATTCAATGCTGTATCCAGTTCTCCAAAAACATACACAGATGTGTCTGATGCCAAAATCACTGACCAAACGTCGACTAGGGAATGAGAATTGGCTGGGCTGAGAGACAGAGTGTGTGTGTCTCTGTTCTGTATTAACACCTGGTAATGCTAAACAGAAAGTGTGTAAGGCAGAAGCTTTGAGCTTCCTCTCTGGCATGAAGATTAGAAAAGGCGATGGTTAGTTTACCTGCGAGTCAGTGTGAAGCATACTAACATCAACTCAGCAGTGTGGCAAAGCCCGCTACCCAATTACCTGACTATAAAGCAAACACAACAATAAACTCAGTGAACAACATCAAATCAATGCATGCGCATTGGTTAAAGTTAAACAGTGCTCTGCGTAGCCATGTACAGTTATGCTATGCTATCCACAGTCAACATTACAAGTATATCAATGGATAGGAGAGTTGCTTTGAAGTGTTGCTTGCTAGTTGTTGATTCTGTGGTTGTGGGTTAGCCAGTAGGAAGAGTTGTGATTCCGATGCCGTCTTTGCTGTGTTAATTGTGCAGATGATGAATCCGAACTTAGCCTTTCAACACTGACATCACAGAAAAGACAAAGAAACTAAAGCCCCGTTTCCACCAAGCAGTCCAGTACAGTACAGTTCAGTGTGGCATGCATTTTTTCCGTTTCCACTATGAAAATTTGTGGATGGTACCAATGCTCCTAACCGTCCCCATTTTTAGTCACCCCTCTGTTGGGGTAGCCTGGAAATCTAGACCCAAATCTAGAAAGATTTAGGGTCTGGCTATGAGAAATGCAAATAGCCCAACTCAAGGGGTGGCACCAAGCATGCATTTGAAAATATCACTGCACGCAATTTGATATCACTACAACCAATCAGAACAATACACGGGGTGACGTATACACTTAGCTACCTGCGGAGCTAACTGGTAGATTAGACTCTTGCCGTACCTGATCGGCAAAACAGCAAAAACGTCCTTCTTGCAAATAAAGACTCGAGCGTCTTCTTCTGTTCCTCTTTTAGAGAAGAAGCCAAGTCTAACTCGTTCATTGTAGCGGCCAAAGCCGTTTCAAACAACTGGTGTTCATCCGTAGCCATCTTGCAATGTTTACTGACTGATTCCGGACTTCGTCGCAGCGCTGTCATCATCTGTTTAGCTCGCCTTTGCCCCGCCTATATCAGATACACCGATGTGATTGGTGCAGCTCGGCTCCAACGGCATGGGTAATGAGCATCATTACTGATTGCCAGAGTGACTCGCTGAGCAAATTCATATTGTGCTTTAGCGAGAACTCTGGATTTCCAGGGTACTGCTGGGGTACCATGCACACTCGTCTGGTACTGATAGGTGGAGCTGTGAAGACTACAGTCTGTTGATTGGTCAATAGAGGGCAGTAACTCTGTCTCAGGGCTGAGTTGTGGCTGGTTTTGAGGCTTATCTAACCACTGTTCATACCATGGCAAGTCTTACATATATTAGTAAACTGTAACAGTAAAATGTAAGGTTTTTTTCTCTGCCTCGGCAGCTGTAGTCTGAGAAAAAAATATAAATTCACCGGGCTGGCTGCCAGCAACTTGTAATGTTTACTTGTAATGTTACTCAGTGCCTGAGTTGATGATGTAAATCCATATGCACACCTTAAATTTCAGACTCTGAACACTGACCACCACCAAGTGGATCTTCAAGCATTTAAGATATAAATTTCGACGGGTTATGTGAACTGCATATATTCTTATCCTCACTTGAGAAAAAAAAGCATCATTGAGTGTCGTTCTTGTGGGCTCCAGCAACGCTAAATCCCTGAGCTTGCCTGAGAAGCACTAAATGCACAAACCTGCTTTTTTAAAATATCCCATTGAGAGAGACTCTCACTGCAGCTTGTTTTATTTTGTTCTGAAATTGTCAGTGTGCAACCCTGTTCTGTGGACGATAAACAAGGTGCAGGCTTCCATCTTTGTCACCGATGATGAGGTATTACAGTGAGTGCTGGACGGAGCAGTGAACATCCCTGCCGTTTGCGGTGGAAACGCTAATTGGACCTACTGTAGGGTCTACATACCATGCCTGAAGGATTACTTTTGGTTCCAAAGGTACTATACCGAAAGTGTTTGGTGGAAATGGGGCTTAACTATTTGAGGCAGCAGTTGACCAGCAGCTTCCGTTTTCAGCTAGATAAAATTACGTTTTTTGTCAATGGAGTCTGGCTTTGAAGAGAGTATGGATAAGTTTCACTTTTAGTTCAGTTCCTCATCAGAAGGGGCTGTCTGTTTGGGAAGGACTGATCATAAAATGGAATAACTGACACTTGGATTATACTGCATAAGTTGTGTGAGAGTTTGTAAACAGATGTTTGGATTCTTTGTTCACCAGAGGCATGTGAGAAAAACAAGGTTTACCTTATAAACTCTACATAACACACAGAGTAACAGTGAGTAGGCTAACTGACAGAGATGGGACCAAGTCACACATGTGCAAGTCTCAAGTAAGTCTCAAGTCTAAACCTTCAAGTCTCAAGTAAGTCCCAAGTCATTTTTTCTTGGGCAAGTCAAGTCAAGTCAAGTCAAGTCACAGGTTATGTCAAGTCAAGTCAAGTCAAGTCAAGTCCTGTAATAGGTCAAGTCAAGTCCAAGTCAAGTCACCTTATTATTGTAATTTTACCTGCAGAATCTGATCTTAATAAAGTGAAAAGACAAGATATAAGTAACTGTCAGTAAACATTGACTTCATCGCTGCAGTGTTTACTTTGCAGGGACGACCCCCATGCGTGCCCGCCACACACACACACACACACACACACACTAACCAAGGCAGCGGCCAAAATCACCCATTTAGCTCATTTAACTCTGTGTTGCTCATTCATAAAACGTACAGCCGGTCTTGTGATGAACCGGTCGGAATGTTCGCTCACGTTTTCTGGGGTTAATGTTAGCAAATAAATTAAAAAACAAGTTCCACCAAACCGACCCACCTCCCCCCACCCCACTCCCTAGCTAACATTAGCTAACTACCGACTAACCAGATAATATTAATTAATTGACAAGCACTTACTGGGCAGAATGATGACTCTCGGTACCCCTCCCGCTGACATGTTGATGCCTATCTGATATAAGAGGGCCTGTTTCTTCAATAAACACATAAGGTACGTAGAGAGGGCATGACTGATTGACAGGGTAGTGATCCAATCATGACAACGCCATTCTCAGCCTGCGCTCCTACCGGGGAATCAACATTATTTTTTAAATTAATTTATTAATTTTATATTCTAACCGAAAACATGATGTGAATAACACTCAAGTCATTCAAGTCATCGTGTCTCAAGTCAAGTCCCGAGTCTTTAACTTCCAAGTCTGAGTCAAGTCTCAAGTCTTTTTTTTTTTTTTCAAGTCAAGTCACAAATCATCAAAACAGCGACTCGAGTTGACTCGAGTCCAAGTCACAATGACTCGAGTCCCCATCTCTGCTAACTGATGTAAAAATGGTCAAGTATTCCTTTGAAATGTGTGTTCTTCCTCCTCCTACTCAGTCCTTTTTCTCTGTGCTGCAGGTTAGAATTTTGCACAAAGTCACATCAAAGCGCTAAATTCTTTTAAGATGGAGCTCGTCACAGACAGAATGATTTCAACATGGAGGAAGCTCTGCGCTGGCTGCTGCTTCCTGCAACCCACTGTGAGGGAGATGGCTAAAAATTGCTGGCAGTAGCTGCATGTGTCCACACTGTCAGATCTGAGGGGGGAGTCCCTCTCTCTCTCTCTCTCTGCTTCTCTCTCTCTCTCTCTCTCTGGCGCTCTCTCTCTCTCACAGCTCAGCATCTCCACTCTCACGAAGCGTGAATCCACTGTTCTGATGCTCCACAGAGGCACAGTCCAGTGTATCTGAGCCACTCGTGGGAAGGATTTGAGTCACAGCCTCAGCGAGAGGTGAGTCATTCTTTATCTCTGTCTCCCCACTTATGGATTTTTACCACCACCTCAGAATTACACCACCTCTTTGTATTTTTGCATTTTATTTTTCTCAGAACAATCCATTTTTACAATCGCTGCTATTACATTGGCTAGCTTTCAAGTGTTAGTGACATCATCATACCTGATTAATTTTTTAGTTACTATGCTATTTGTATGGAAACTTCATGTTTGTCTCTGGTATTAAATGTGGTGTTTGAATTGAACTGACAGGATTTTTAGGCTTACATGACATGATGTTGCAGCTGCATGATATTTTCAAGGTTTTTTTACTGTAATTATTCAGATGGTATTTTCTACTTTTTATTGGGGGAATCTGGCTGACCATTATAATATGACAGTACTTTTAACAAGATCAACTACTAACAGCTTCATATAAATCTATAAATCATATTATATTTATATGAATTTATGATACGCCTCTCCAAATCATCAGTTATGGTATAAAATAAGCCTTTTGGCCAACCACCTGTATTTGCATGACTTAAAGCCAACACTGTCCAAACACTGTCCATAAATGAATAGTTCACATGGGGTATAAAACTGTTTTATAAGCTTTTGTAATTTATTCAAAGCTGTGCAGCATATGTATTCAGAAGAAAATAGTGCCAAAAAAAACCTTGATGTCTGTAAAGAAATGAGGCCACTGTGGTTATATGAATTCATTATTTTGCTGAGGCTATGATTTCACAGTGCAGAGAGAGCTCTGCTACTTCACAGACACAAACACAGAAGAGGTCCAGATACTGCACAGTCTTATGTGTCACACTGTGTGGGACAAAAAAAAAAGGAGCAAATGAGCAACACAATGAGAAAGACTACTAATTATTTCAGCATTAAGAAAATTTAATGATGCCACTCACATTGTGCAGGAAATGCTTTCTTCCTCTGTCTAATTGTCACTGTAATAATTTCCTAGAGAAAATATCGTTTTCTCACAAAGATTAGTCACCACAGTGGCAAAGCAGCAGCAGTGAGCATCACTCGGTGTGAGACGCGGATCTGCCTTTTTATGGACTGACCTGAATCTGGTTCCTGATAAACATGTCTCCTGCTGGGGGGCCAAAAATTTGTCTCGTTATAATTCTATTATTTGGTTTCCATTGTGAAGTATGTATGCTTCGCTCTGGCATCTGCAGGTGGAAGGATGTGTGGCAAGTCACTATACTAAAGCTAATGTAAGTAGTGACTCATAAGACACAGCTGGCTTTAAGAATATATTTGGAAAATAGCTGCACAACCTTACATGCATGGTACACAGAACAGCATCAGTTCTCACTGGGGGTCCTTAGCACCCTTATGTCAGGTATTTAAAGGTCCAGTGTGTAGCAATTGGGAGCATCTTATAGCAGAAATGGTATATAATATTCATAACTATATTTTCATCAGTTTATAATCACCTAAAAATATTAGTCATTGTGTTTTCATTACCTTAGAATGAGCCGTTTCTATCTACACACAGAGCGGGTCCTCACCCTGAGCAGACAGATCAAACAGTGGCTCCAGATAGGGCCATTTGCATTTCCTGTTGGCCATGGTTCTCCTACATACGTAGCACATGGGAAAAGTTTCAATTTTGCAACCTCATTGTTAGATGCCGCTAAATCCTACACAGTGGACCTTTAAACGCCTTAGCCAAAAACAGACATTACTGTCTGATCATCTATTAACAGTTTCACAATTGGTTTGCAATTATCAACATACCCTCACGGAACAGTCCATATGATATTCTACAAAAATGCACACACAACAGTTCGTATCATATCCTACGAATTGGTGCCCCACGAATGACTTTTCATACTTAATGTACAGTTACCTAATTAACATAAAGTTACAGAGGTTGGGGTTTAGGAAAAGAAACAAACCTTAAAATGACTCACAGATTACACAGTTTCAATTATACGTCTACTGGGGAAGGTCCCAGGGGAAAGTCTGCATTTTTGTGACCCATCCACCACGCCAGCCTGCCTCCTTTTAAGAATACTTGAGACTGCTTTCTTGTTTACTCCCATCAGCAACCGATGTCATGTGATTGCAGCCTTTCAAAATATGTGGGACATTTATGACTTTGGGTGCATCACTTTTTGTGGTAAAACATACAAACACTTTATGAGAACAGCCTGAATATATACTATAGCTATACTCTAACAAGCACATGACTTTGACCCAGGAAACCAGTGTTTGTGTCCTTTGTGAAACTTAAGTCAAGATTGAGTTATTTTGTCACATCAGTCATTAGTCAGTCATTAGCCATAAGTCACGTGGTCGACTCACATGACTAACATAAACTATGGTCTTTTCCTAACCCTAACCAAGTATTTTTGTTGCCTAAATCCAAGCAACAGCCCCCTCTGATTAATAAACAATGCAAGACATAACAAAAAGGCTGTCACTATAATGATGCCAGGAGCTTCTGCCCAAGCATCAAAATATGACGAGTAGGGATGATTTTACATTGCATGATAATATCAGTGATATATATAAGACTGCAGAAATTGTAGGCTATCCATATAGACAAATCATTTCTAGTTCCTTGTGGACCTGTTTTGTTAGCTATAATTCAAGGTGTTTAATTTTGAAAATTTAAATACCACCAAATATGATCTGAAACAATGAAACATTTTTTTGTTATAGAATACTTCCATGTCTACATCACACTATGTCCAGCAGCCTGTTTCAGTATTTCAGTGTATCAGCCATGTCAAAAAGAATAATTCTGATCATGTTCATACAAAGTGCATCTGTATGCATATGAATATGTATAGATATATGTATGTATATACATCAGAAACTAAAATGTTCTGTTTAATGCATGATTTGTTTCAGTTGAAATCTACTGTGGATCACAGACATACTGTCAGACCTAACTATTCCAGGCTGGTATGGTGATTTTCCAGAGAAATATGGCCAATGATCTTGCAGTCTAATTTACATAATTCTCCAAGTGAATCTGTCGGTGGCAGCCACCAACAATTAATTAGCATAAGACTACAAGCCAAGGAATTTTTAATCATTATTTGAATGGTGATCATGCTGTCATTTTTGGGATGTCAGGAAGAAGAAGAAAATGGCATTTAACACTGTGTTTGTGACGTGTAACCATGGCAACCTTTGAAGAGGTCCTCATGATCAGTGTTTTCTATTGTCCCTGTCATTGTCATTGGAGTCAGTCACATCATGATCAGCTGCAGACTGAGATATGACAGTTGTGGTATATCTGTTTCCACTTGTGCTGTCTGTACAGACCACAGTGAGAGGAGGCTCAACAGGAGCTCTCTCTGCTAGTGAGCTTTCAGATCCTGATAGACAGAAGGCATTTAACAGTGCTGTCCTTCAATTTGTGCAAATTGGAGAATAAAATGTCATTATTAAGTGTTTCTGAAATTATACAGGTTTTTTTTTTTTTTTTCCCCAGATGTAGAGCACGGTGCCCTGAAACTGACTAAACAAATCAGAGGTTATCAGACAAATTATAAATATAACTGAATACATCAAATCACACGATTAGTTAAACACGAAAAATGGAGTGTAAAAGGGAATCTAGTGATTTCTTCTTAATCAGCTGGTGAAAAAGAAATTCTTTTTTTTTTCCTTAAGCACCATTGATGGAATAAATTAAAACCTGATTATGTGTGTTTAAAATTAGTGGTGTTATCGAGTTGACTGTGTGACTAGCTATCTCACGTGAAAATATTGATAGGTTAACAACCCTTTAATGCACTGTTCAGACATCAGCTCCTTTTGAGTCACTACATCTTTATTCAAAAATGTGTAGAACTAAACTCTAAACTCCTAATTCAGCTATCTCTACCATTCACTTTAGGTATGTTATGCTAAAAAAATCCACTAGATGCCAAATAGTGGGCCTTTTCAGTTCACCTCCTACAGGAAGTTAGTAACAAAAAATGTCACTCCAGACGTGAGGACCGCCATCTTTGTTTGAGGGAAAGCAGGTGTGTAGCCTATTCTGCTATCTGTACACTGCAAAAACTTGAGTGATCTTCAGTTTTTCATCCTTCTGGTTGATTTCACAACCTTAAGTTACATTTTGATTGAAGAACAGCAAGAAAATGTGGCGTTCAACTATTTCAAAGCCCTTTCTGGTGATTGTAAGGCAAGTCAACTTGCCCTTGCACTCACGAGCATGACATGGTTGGTACTTTAACCATAATTACTGCATACATTATATTTTTTTACTACTTTATTACTTAAGTTACTGTGTTATTTATTAATGGGTAGCTACATTATTTATATTTAAGTAGTAATAGATTCAGCATTACTGAGTTACCAGTAAATTATTATTTCATTGTCATTTATAGCACACTGTATATTGTTTCATTTGTATTTTCATGTGCAGTGTTTAAGTGGAGTCATTGTGTTTCCTTGGTTATGAGCTAATTGGTTCCTCCCTGACCTTGTTTTGTGGGGACAGGTATGGGTGATACACAAGAGAGAGCGAGTACTTGGGCCCAATTCCAATCCGATCCCTTACAGACTCACTGACTTAGAGGCGCGTTCATGTGAAGTGCGTGAGTGTGTGAGGGCTGTCCCATGTCAAATCGTCAAGTCAGTGAGTCAGTGAGTGAGCCCTTTATGCCCCCTTACCGTAGGTCAGCATTGATGCGGACTTACGGTAAGGAAATTACCCACAGTACAGCGTTGTGACGTCAAATACAGGGGTTGCCCTCGGAACACCGGAAGTAACACGGTCGGCAGATATGCAAACATTAATGTTATGGAAGGAGAGCGAAAAAACAGATAGATAAACAATGAAACATTACATTAACAAGGATTTAAGATGGTACATAAACACACATGAAGTCAGAGGAATACCAGTGGTTATATTCCACACACAAAGAATATATATCTATATAGATAGATAGATAGATCTATCTATCTATCTATCTATAGATATATATTCTTTGTGTGTGGAATATATGATGACAATAACCAATAAA